GGGGAAGAACTTACTGCACGGGGAAGAGAAGAACGAGAGGAGTTTGGGAAATTTTGATTGGGAGAAAGGGTTTTGAAGTTTTGATCGAGGGTTTGGGAAGGAAAAGAGATAGAAGAAAGGGTAATACCATCTTTTCATATTAATTTTAATAGACTTGTGACTACTTTTGCTCAGCATTAAAAATGCTGGATAAAAAGTAAATACCACTTTAAAAAGTGGCTACTCTACGCAATTTTTACACTGACTGCTACTTAAATGGGTTCGAGAACAGGGTCATATTGATGGATTAAAACAGAGGCCAGGGCCCGGGAGCCAGTCCCATTAGTGATTGTATCAAGGGATTCTTACACAAATAGCCATCTAAATTACAAGTATTTACTTTTCCTAGAAGATACACATAGATTATATACTGATTATATATAATTATACACATATTATATATGGATTATACATATATTATACATCATCCGGGTATTTTTAGTTTAAGCGGTTGGGTGAACGGTTATTTGGGTTAATTTTTCTTGTATGTATCAATTACTCAATCAGGCTTTTAACAATGGTTGACTAAATATGCAAAAAATTATATGCTGATTATGTGTAAAATATGTATTTTATGTTAATATAATGAATTAACTGATAGAATATATAAGTCCGCCAAACTATATAGAGACCAGGTCCTATATAGGTTTCCACAAATAACGCTAATGCAACAGTAAGTAAATGGAACATGGAACTTTTACGTGGAAAAATCCTTGCTCAAAGAGATAAAAAATCACGACCTACACTGGTAGGATTTCAACTTCACTATGAGCAAACTTTAGATTACAACCTATGCAATCTAGGAATTAAACTCTTAATCACTCACTAACTTGTAATACACCTGTTACAAGCCATTTTGCAATACACATATTACAAAGACTTCAACTCATGACTAACTCTAGTCACGACACAAACACTGAAGGTTTATGGTTTACAAGGGGTTCCTAATTAAAGCTTCTAGATAAGCAGAGTAGGAATTACAATGAAGAACAATTACAAAGTTACAACTCAACTAAGGACATACAAGAGACTTCATGTAGGAACTGGTCCGTAGTAGTGTTGTACTTTGTTCTTGATGCACTTGACAATTGAATGCTTGATTGTCAGACGCTTGAAGTGCTTGAATAATTCTCATGTGTTCAAGTGATGTTTCGTTGTAATGTTTATTGTTAATACAATATAGATGACATCACTTGAATGATGTAATTACTTGGTTGGTCAATGAGAAGTGACTGTTGTACTGTGCTGCACTGTTTGCGTGTACAATGCAGGCAGTTCACTTTTCAGCTGTAGACAGTTGACTTCGTACTGCTGTCAGGGGAACACAAGAGGATCAGGTCCCTGTTTTGATTCTTTGTCTTCTGAAGTCATAGCAACTCACATGAGCTTGAGTTTGTTGATTTGAGTTGTGTACCAAGTATATCAGGTTCCTTATCTGGTTCTTTGACAATAAGTTTGTTAGATCATCAAACATAAAACTAAGGTATTGTAAACCCATCAATTTCCCCCTTTTTGATGATGATAAACTTAAAAATTGACAATCATATTTAGAAAAAAAAAACAGATAAAGTATCAGGAACTTCACAAGTTCCCCCTAAATTTTTGCTTCCCACTGAATCAGTCGCTGCTTCTTCGTAACTCCTTCAATTTTACCAACACTACTCTTCCCCCTTTTGGCATCATTAAAAAAACATAAGCAAGCAATCAATATAAATAGGTCTAGCCTAGCTAACTCATGCCACATATGTGCACACCACATGATAAAGAAGATAAGCAGAGAAACATAAGCATTTACAGCAAAAGAGGAGAGTCTTTATTAATTTTATAAAACATAAGCCTTTGGTGTTACAGAAAAGGCAGATTTGGACCGTTAAGAACGGGAGCAGTACAAGTGAATTCCATCCATACCACAAAATAAAAAAAACAAAAACAACTACCACAAAAGTCATCTAAATAGAAGAGATAAACTGGAAACCGGTCACTGAAGGATTAGCCTAGGGGACACTAGAGGAAGAGGGCTTAGAAGCGGCAGCAAGATTGTTGAGAACGAGATCAATCTGAGCATTTGCGGACATTTGCTCTGCGAGCAGTTTCTCCCTCAGGTTCTCAACCTGTTGCCTGAGATCAGCATTTTCTTTTGTCAAACGAGCAACCTCTGCACTTGATGAATTGGAGGACCCTGGTGCCTCTTGATCCTGACTTAGATGAGTCTCTAGAATGGCATTCCTAGCCTTCAACTTCCTGATCTCCTCAGTAGCATTGTTCTGAGCATTGATAAGCTGTGAGATCGTTGAAGTGCTTCCTACCCCTCCAACCTTTTCAACACACTCACATTCCTCTAGAGTAGTCTGCGAGAAGGTCTACTTCTTGGTCCCCATCTTAGGCTGTCCCAAAGGCACATTGAAGAATTTGAAGACATGCGTGAGAAGAAATCCATAGGGAAGACCATGATTCCATCCTTAAATGTTGCCACCTTTTGCATATGCTCAATCATTATAGCTGGCAGATTAACAGTGCTGAACCCATACAATGCTTCCATCATATACAGATCAGACTTGGATGTGATGGACCTCCTCTCAACGCGAGGAAGCAGGACCTTATTCACCAATTCAAAAAGGAGCTAATAAACGGGAAGCAAGGCTTTCTTGTGTACCCGTTTCCCCCATTGCACTGCTCCCTCCTTAACTATAACATGCCTAAAGTTTTCTCCACAAGCATCTCTAACAGAAGACACTCCTTTAGCAGGAACCTTAAGTATGTCACCTAGCAAAGCAGAGTCCATAAGAATGTCGACTCCATTTACCAGTGCACAGATTTGATCAGATTCAACAGTAAAGAGGTCTTCATAGAACTTTGGACCTCATCCTCATAAACCTTTGGCACATCTACTTTGAACAGATGTACCCACCTTTAAAATTCGACCATCTCAAGTATATGCCTCATACCAGCCATCTCAGATATTTCTGGGTCAAATGTGCGACCCCATAGTACTTTTTGGTACCTTTCTTTACCAGACACACTTTCACATGTCACTTTCTTCACAGAATTGGGTTCCTGCACGTGCTTCAATTTCCTTTTTACCAGACTTTCAACTAGACTTAACCTTTCCACTTGACTTCACTAGAATATCATTATCAGACATTGACTCTTCAACCAACACTTGCTTCAACTTGTCACCACTTTCCACATACTTTTTACTGGGCATCCCAACAACCTCCTTTGAAATACTTTCAGCAGATTGTTTCTTTTTCTGAGATCTCTTAACTAAGGAACTTGGTTCCTCTTGAGCTTCCTCATCCATTTCTACTACCGGAATATTCTTGTCACAAATAATCTCTCCTTTTCTTCTTCCTGTTACTCCTTTTGCTCTTCTTCAAAGCAAGACTCAAGAGCCTCCTTCTTCTGCAACTTTGTAGTAGGTCGCTTGGGAGAGGGATCAGGAGTGGCTACTGGCCTCCTTCTGGCAATAAACGCACTCGGAGCAACATCATCCTGATCTTCTTCATCATTGGACCTCATAGCAGGAGCCACTACTTCCTAGGGTTCAACATCAAAGTGAGTAGAAGGAGCAGGGTCGAAACTGATATGGGAAGAAGAACCCTGACCTGTTTCCTCATAAAAGGGGTCAGGTCCTTTAAAAGGAGTCCAATAGTCTCATTCTGGTGCTGGTTTTTCAAAGAGTACCATTGTTCCTTCTCCCACCAACGGCTGAGTCTCTTCCCCCTGAGACTCAGGCATAGTAGAGGTTTCCTCATTCACTATCCCTTCAGTAGAGACGGCCAACATGTTTTCTATGGCCTTTCTCTCCTGAGATTCCATAGGTGCAACAATGTCCGAGGCAGGAGTACCTGTAGACTGATCAACATTGTCCTCAGAAACCTTTTATGCCTGTGGAGACTCACTATTTTCTTCATCTTTGCTTTGTTCTGTGAGAATCTCAGGTGACAAAGAAGAGAAACTGTAGATTTTAAGGATTTCTGAGTTCTCAACACTTAGAGGGAGAATGTGGTCTGAGGGAGTGGTGAGAGTGATAAAGGGTGAAAGAGAATCAGGTTTAGGTGTTTCACTTTCAATAGTGGTGGAAGGGGGAATGTTGAGAGGTGTTTCACTAGGAACAGAGGAGTCGAGGGTTTTCTCTTCAATGGTGGGAAGGATTGTTTGATCTTCAGCCATGATAGATAATTAGTTTGAAAGTTCTGGAGAGGCTGAGAGAAGAGAGAGAGAGAGAGAGAGAGAGAGAGAGAGAGAGAGAGAGATCGTTCAAGGTTTGGAGATGAGAGGGTTTTAATGAGAAAGATGGCAATTATGAGGGAGAGAGAGAAATCTGTTCTGAAATGGCGATAGATTTCTGGGAAGATGCAATGTTTCAGAGGGAAGTGAAGGGATTTGAAAGAAAAGACGTGACATGCAGGGTCTGAAAAGGTTGATGACATGGCACTCAATTTTTTTAAGATATGTATGAGAAAAACACAAGACTACTAACCTATGGTACTAGAACCAGGTTCTTGATCGGTCTTTCAAAAATTCTAAACCCTCTTTTACCGCTTATGCATTGCCTCAGTAGCTTCTACAATCATCATGCGTGTCTACTTGTAACGGAATAGAAGTGAGTTAGACTTGGCCAGAAAACACTTTAGCTAATTTTACCTATATGTGATTTTCATAGCCATATAGTAGGAATCAGGTTCTCAATTAGGCTTTATTAGCCCCAGTGCCAGCCTGTTTCTCTCAAAGTGTTCTCTGCTCAGGGCTTTGGTGAAGATATATGTAATTTGGTCTTCTGTGCTGCAAAACTTTATACAGATAAGACCCTTCTCCACATTGTCTCTAAGAAAATGATGTCTCATATCAATGTGCTTGGTTCTTTTATGTTGGACAAGATTTTTGGCCATGTCGAGTGCACTTGTTTTATCACACAGAAGAGGCACACAGTCAGTGTACACTCCAAAATCTTCCAATTGCTATTTGATCCATAGAAGCTGAGCATAGCAGGAGGCTGCAGCAACATATTCTGCTTCAATTGTTGAAAGAGCTACTGAATTTTGCTTTCTTGTGCCCCATGAGATAAGACATGATCCCAAGAAGAGAGCCATTCCAGACGTGCTTTTCCTATCTACAAGATAACCTGCATAGTCAGCATCAGCATACCCAATAAGATTAAAATTATCACCTGAAGGGTAGTAGAGAACCAAGTCTTGCGTTCCCTCAAGATATCTCAAGATTCTTTTGGCAGCCTTTAGATGAGATTCCTTGGGGTTTGACTGAAATCTTGCACATAGACCCACACTGAAGATAATATCTGGCCTGCTTGCAATAACATAGAGGAGAGACCCAATGATGCCTATATACATTGTTTGATTCACCGGAGAGCAAGATTCATCCATATCAAGTCGAGTAGCTGTGGCAATGGGAGTGTCAATCACTTTTGATGCTTCCATGTCAAACCTCTTCAGAAGCTCTTTGATATACTTCTGCTAACTAATGAATGTTCCCTTTGTGAACTACTTTACTTGAAGACCCAAGAAGAAATTCAACTCACCCATCATGCTCATCTCAAACTCATTTCCCATGAGTTTTGCAAATTCCTCACATAGTGAATCAGTTGTTGCCCCAAAATGATATCATCAACATATACCTGAACAATGAGCAGGTTTCTTGCTCGTTTCTTCAGAAACAAAGTGTTGTCAATTTTTTCTCTTGTAAAACCATTTTCTACGAGAAATTTTGACAACCGTTCATACCAAGCTCGAGGAGCCTGCTTCAACCCATACAATGCCTTGTCCAATTTGAACACATATTTAGGGTGTTTATGACATTCAAAACCTGGAAGTTGCTTTACATACACTTCTTCCTTGAGGAAGCCATTCAGAAATGCACTTTTGACATCCATTTGGAATAGGGTGAATTCTATATGTGATGCAAAGGCAATGAGGATTTTGATAGCTTCCATGCGAGCAACCGGAGCAAAAGTCTCATCATAATCAGTTTCTTCCTCCTGATTGTAGCCTTGGACCACTAACCTTGCCTTTTCCTTGTAGTGTTTCCATGTTCATCGAGCTTATTCCTGAATGCCCACCTGGTTCCTATAATGGTTTGATCTGAGGGTCTAGGTACCAGGTGCCATACGTTGTTTCTTTCGAACTGATGCAACTCATCTTGCATGGCTGTGATCTAGTCTGCATCTTTTAAGGCTTCCTTAATGTTTTTGGGTTCTATTTGGGAGAGGAATGCTGAGAAGGCAAGTGAATTTCTAGCTTTTGATCTGGTTTGGACTCCTGAATCCAGAGGAGTAATTATGTTGTCAAGAGGATGAGAGCTTTTGTGTTTCCAGTTGGGCACTTGAGCTTCATTTGTAGAGGAGTTGGGTAATCCTGACTAGTTCCCTTGTATCCTTCTTTCAGCCACCTGTGGTGTACTTTGAACTGCATCAACCACTCTTTCTTCAGCTTCAGTGGTTGTAATTGTGGTACCCGGTTCCTCTCCGACTGATGAGGAAGAGACTGCATTGTCGTCACTTGTCTCCTTCACTTGACTCATCATATCTGCCTTCCATTTGCCATATCAATGACTTCACTTGGAACCAGCAGAGGCTCTCCATATTGATCATCCTTGTTGCTTTTCTCACAGGAGAGGTAGGACTCGTCAAAGATTACATGTACACTTTCCTCAACACACTGAGTCCGCTTGTTGTATACCTTGTAGGCTTTACTTTGAGAAGAATATCCCAAAAAGATTCCTTCATCACTCTTGGCATCAATTTTTCCAAGCCAATTCTTTCCATTGTTGAGAACATAACATTTGCACCCAAATGTTCTTAAGTAAGTCAGCTTGGGCTTCTTTCCATTCAACAACTCATAGGGGGTTTTGTTTAAGAGAGACCTGATCATGCACCTGTTCACCAAGTAGCAGGCAGTGTTGACAGCTTCAGCCCAGAAGTTCTTAGCAATCCCACTATCGATCAACATTGTTCTTGCCATTTCTTCAAGGGTTCTGTTCTTCCTTTCCACAACTTTATTTTGCTGTGGAGTTCTTGGGGCTGAGAAGTTATGGGTAATGACATTCTCGTTGCAGAATTCGTCAAACTTAGCATTGACAAATTATGTTCCATGATCTGATCTAATGCATGCTACTTTTGACTCCATCTTCACTTGAATTTTCTTCACAGAGGCTACAAAAACTTCAAAGGTCTCATATTTTGTTCTAAGGAACAGAGTCCAAGTGAATCTGGAATAATCATCCACTATCACAAAAGTGTATCTTTTTCCTCCCCTGCTTTGCACTCTCATAGGGCCACATAGATCCATATGAAGGAGATCAAGTGGTTTTGAGGTGCTGACATCCTTCTTTGGCTTGAATGAAGATTTCACATGCTTTCCTCTAGCGCAAGCATCACAAACCTTGTGCTCTTTGAACTTTGAATTGAGCAGACCACGAACCAGGTCCTTCTGAACCAACTTATTCAGTAGAGAGAAGCTTGCATGCCCCAACCTTCTGTGCCACAGTTCAACATCATCATCAACTGCTTTCAAGCAGCTCAGATCACCACTTTGTAGGGACTCAAAATCAGCAACGTAGATATTCTTGTATCTTCTAGCCACAAGTACCACTTCACCAGTTACTACATTTGTAACTGTGCATATTTTGGACAAGAATTCCACCTTGTTTCCCTTATCACATATCTGAGAGACACTTAAGAGACTGTACTTAAGACCATTAACATAGTATACATTTTCAATTGAGTGAGTGAATGGTTTTCCAATTTTTCCAACACCAAGATGTGCCCCTTTTTCCCATTTCCAAAGGATACACTCCCTTCTTGCAGGGCTGTTAATGAAAGAAAGTCCATGGTAGGGGTGCGCATTCGATTTATCGATTCGATTTTGACCCTTATCGATAATTACTTATCGATTATCGATTTGTACATATGCTTATCGTTATCGTTTTAATAAGGTTTCAATTTTTTCGATTTCGATTTATCGATTTTTGGGGCTTATCGATTCGGTTATCGATTACACCAATAAGAAAATTTGCGGGATTCCACAGAAAGTATATCGCTATAAACACGCCTAACTAATATGGACAAAAAGAAGCTAAAATAAGACGAACACATTTATAACATAAAAATTGTGTCAAAGGCACGGAGAGAGGGATAGGGAGAAACCTACTATTGAAGTCGCCAGAGTACACCGGAGTATGCTAGAGTACGCCGGAGTACGCAAGAGTACGCCGGAGTTCGCCGGAGTTCACTTTCTCTGTTGGGTTTGCAGTTCGCGGGAGAGAGGGAGAAAGGTAAAAGCGGTGCTGAAGAATGGGTAGAGGAAATAATAGGGTTAGTGACTTCTTTTTTTTTAGTACTGAGCAATCTCTTTTGCCAATTACTATTTCTTGAATATGTAACGGAGAATTACAATACCAAGCTCAAACAAAAACTAAGAAATTCTAATCCACAACAAGTGATAAAATGATCTACAATCATTACCCACACAAACCCTAATTCCAAAAACCTAACCCCCAAATCCATAGAGAGTCCTGCCCTGTCTCTTGAGTGCATAAACAACATCCATAGCGGTAACAATATTTCTCCTAGCGTGTTCTATGTAAGTCACAGCATCACGAATCATATTCTCCAATAATATCTTCAAAACCCCACGCGTCTCCTCATAAATCAAACCAGAAATACGCTTAACTCCTCCCCTACGAGCGAGCCTATGAATTGCAGGCTTTGTAATTCCCTGGATGTTGTCCCTTAAAACTTTTCTGTGCCTCTTTGCTCCTCTTTTGCCCAATCCTTTGCCACCTTTGCCTCTTCCTGACATTTTTGTCGAATTTTGGTAGTTAAAATGAGAAGAAATGTTGTTGATTTGGTTCTTGACATAGGGTTAGGGACTTAGGGTAAAGGAAAGGGTATTATAGAATAAGGGTATATTTATCTTTTTAGTATATCTTATCGGTTTATATATAAACCGATAACGAAGAGGACAAAATCGAAATCGAAATCGATAACTCGATAAGGAAAATTTCGAAATCGAAATCGAAATCGATAAACCGATAACAAATAATCGATTCGATTTATCGATAAACCGATTCGAATGCACACCCCTAGTCCATGGTATTCCTAGTCATGTACTTTGAGCATCCACTGTCGATGAACCATTGTTGACTGCTTCCTTTCACTGTTCCCTGCACAAGAAAATCAAGGGTTAGACTTAGGAACCCAAGCAAGTTTGGGTCCCTTGTAATAAACAAGAGGATGAATAAGTGCTCTTCTAGTCCATGCAGGTAACATGCGCTTTTTATGGGTGGCACCTGGTCCTTTTTCAGCAGTTACTCTTTCAGCAAAAACTTTGTTTTTCTGAGGAGACTGAACCTTGGCTTGGCAATTTTCTTTGAAATGCCCATTGTTCCCACAGTGGGTACACAGCCAGTTATCAGGTACAATAACATACTTGCTATGAGGGTTATAAGGAGTTCTCTCCCTTTGAAACTCTATTCCCTGCCTGTTTCCACCATTATTAACATACATGGCAGTAATAGCATCCGAGGACCAGGTCCACTTAAGAGACTTCTCAAGATCATTTTTTACTCTTTCCAAATCTGCTTGAAGTTATCTATTTTTCTCAAGTTCAGCACATAAACTAGTTTTTACAGCATTTAACTCGTTTTCAAGCTTAATATGTGCTTCACTAGCAACTTCTTTTCCTTTCTCAGAATTTCCAGACCTACATTCTGCTTTGAGTTCCTCTATTGTTTCCTTCAAGTCTATAATCACAACTAAGAGGTCATCTCTTTCTTGCTCTAAGGCATCAACTTTCTCCACTAAGCCATTCTTTTCTTTACTAAAATTTTCGATGGTTTCTTTTAAGTCAACAACTACTACCATCAAATCGTCTCTTTCATGTTCTACACTAGCAATTTCCTCAGTTAGAACCTCCTTTTCATTTTCTAGAATAACTATGGTTTCCTTCAAATCAACCACACAAACTACCAAGTCATCTCTAGTTTGTTCAGCATCTCTTAACTCTATGGTTAAGGGATTTGATATCATCTACAAGAATATGATAGGCATCAATTAATACATTTTCTAGTGACATGAGTTTCTTAGGAGAGTAGGATTTCAGATTTCTCTGAACATCCCTAAAATTTACCTCATCATTGTCATCATCTTCATCATTGTCTAACTGAGCCATCAAAGCAATTATTGAATCATATTCATTGTCTTCACTTTCAACTGCCATCATAGAACTATCACGTGCATCATTTTCTTCTTCAGAATCACTGGAGGAATCTCCCCATGCTGCAAGAGCTTGCTTCACAACATTGTCAGCGACGTTCTTTCTTTTGAAGCGTTTGTCGGGAACCAGGTTCCTCTTGGCTGCTTTATCAGAGTTGTGCTTGAAATGTTCTTGCTTCAGGAGAGGGCAATCCATGATGAAATGCCCTGACTTTCCACATTTATGACAGAGGTCATAATTCTTGCACTACAACATAATGTATTTATAGCTATAAAATCTCATCTATGAATTTAAAAATCGTGGCTAATACCTAACAATAGCCACAAAAATTAGAATTTTCTAGCTACTTACAAATTCGTAAAATTTGCTAGCCACGAAAATTGAATTGGTAAAGCTAATTCCTTATTTTTGCTATAATTGCTAACAATCGTAGCAATAATTGCCTAAATAGCTACAAACTTATTGCTATAATAAAATTGCGTAGCTAATTCATACATTTTAGCCACGCATTAAAAGTTAATATAGCAGTAGTAACCTTTTAGCCACAATAAATTATCCAAAATAAAACACTGTAGCTAAAGAAATACATTTGCTTCAAGTTGTAAAAAATTGTAGCAATAGGTAAATGATATACCCACGAATTTATTATTATGATAAACTATTGTAGCTAATTGTTAGTTTTTGCTACAAACTGAAAGTTACTGTAGCAGAAGTAACCTTGTAAACAAAATAAATTATTTTAAATAAAATATTATAGCTAGATAAATATTTTGTTTCAAGTTCTAAAACACGGCAATAGTTGGCTTAATAACTATAATTATTTGTCATTATAGAATAATCTAGCTACCAATTTATTACTTTGATAAAATTTCGTAGCTAATCATTAGCTTTTGTTACAAGTTGAAACTTGCTATAGTAATAGTAACCTTTTAGACCTATGAAATTATTCGAAACAAAATCTTGTAGCTAATTGAGTATTTTTGCTCGATTATGAAAATCATGATAAGAGTTGCCTAACTGTAACGACCCGGCCGGTCGTTTTTGGAATTTACGCCTCGATCCCCCATTAACTGCTTCCCCTAAGTTCATTTCTGCTATTTTGGTTTGCCGGGACGTTCGGTGTTGGGATTCGGAGTATTTTGGGACACTTAGTCCCTAAATGAGAGCTTAAGAGTTGAAAAATGGTCCGTAATCGGAACAGTGTGAAGACGACCTCGGAATGGAAATTTGATGGTTCCGTTAGCTCCGTTAGGTGATTTCGGGGTTGGGAGCGTGTTCGGAATGTATTTTGGAGGCTCGTAGCTCATTTAGGCTTGAAATGCCGAAGTTTGAATTTTGGAAGTTTCCGGTCCGATAGTGAGTTTTTGATCCGAGGGTCGGATTGGAATTCCGGAAGTTGCAGTAGCTCCGTCATGTCATTTGGGATGTGTGCGCAAAATTTCAGGTCATTCCGGTGAGGTTTGGTTAGGTTTTTGATCGAAAGTGTGTTTTGTTGGAATTTGAAGTTCTTAGGCTTGAATCTTTGATTTAATCGGACTTCCGGTGTTGTTTTAGGTGTTTTAAGGATTGGTACAAGTTCGAATAAGGTATTAGNTCCTACTTGAAATTATACTTGTGCTAGATTTAGAAAGCATGTTTAGCTGACTTAACTGCCTAATTGCTTAAGTTGTTTGACTGTACTACGTGAAGCATGCTAGGCTAATTCTATCTATTGCTCTATCTTTCGTACTTTATTCCTTAGTTTGTTTCTGGCTGTGGTTGCGCATTTACATCGGGACTACGGATGTGGGATTCCGGTAGCTCCCCCCCCCCCCCCTTGTTTGTTTACTTTGGGACTACGGGTTCGATTCCCGGTAGATCCCCCTGCACTTTTACTTTGGGACTGCGGGTTAGATTCCTGATAGATCCCCCAGCATTTTGATGGTTGGACTACGGGACGGTATCCCGGAAGATCCTTCGGTTTGGTATATGAGTTGGACTACGGGACGGTATCCCGAGAGATCCATTGGACAGTAGAGGAAAGGGCTACAGGACGGTATCCTGGGAGACCCTCATTGCTATCATTGGTATTGAGTTGTATTTACTCTGTGTTTGCTCTGTCCTTTGTGCTTGTTATTGTCTCGTTGACCTGCCTTATTTCACTGCTGTATTTATTATTTCTGTCAGATTATCATACTGTTAATTATTGTTATTACTATATTTTGTCTCAGTATGGCCCTGACCTTCCTCGTCGCTACTCAACTGAGGTTAGGCTTAGCACTTACTGAGTACCGTTGTGGTGTACTCATGCCCTTCCTGCGCATGTTTTTCATGTGCAGATCATCCAGGTACCTCTACTCAGGCGCACTATCAGTGAGGCAGGAGGACTATGGAGACTTCGAGGTAGATCTGCTGCGTCCGCAGACCGACGAGTCTCCCTCTTATTCTATCTTTAGTACTTAGTTTTTCCTTCTTTCGATTGTTAGAAATTCTGGAGTTTGGAACCTTTACTATACACTTCTGTAGCCTGTGTTGCCCATGAGTTTTCGGGTTTTGGGAATTATTTTAGACTTGTGATATTGAGTTGTACTTGCCAAGCGGCATTCAGTAGAGCTTCCTTTAGATATTTGATTCGATTTTCTCTATTTTTCCGCAATTACTATATTTCCGCAATGTTAGGCTTACCTGGTCATGGGGACCAGGTGCCGTCATGACATGTTCACGGTTGGTGAACTAGGGTCGTGACACTAACACTACTAGATAATGAAATATTAATGTCAAATGTAACAATTATATTTTTCTTATAAGATAGAAAAAGAGTAATTAAGGAAGAAAAATATAAATTGTATATAAAATTACATAATTATTTAAAATACAAATTAATCTTCATTCTCAAGCAACAGCTCATTTGTTTACCTGCCTATAACAGCAAAAGTTATCACTTAAAACATTTTAGACTTATCAAACTTATCTTTTCTTGTATTGCTGTTGTTGTTAATTATATAATTTTGTATGTAAAGTTTAAATTATTATTAATAGTTATAGATATTCATGTATGTCATATACTCTATTACTTTTAAATAACTTATTTTTTCACAAAAGTATTCATATTAAAGACTTTAATTGTTGTAGTGATATACATGTATATGGTCCTTAATAATTTATACTATCTTAATAATTATCATAAATCAAATTATACACCGAATCTAAACTTTTTTTTATATTCTTCTTATACATGAAGGAGATCTTGTCTCTCTTGTGAGTATTATTTTTAAGAATAGTTACATATTTTCACTATTATTATGATTATTTTGAGTATTATTTGTATTAAATAGTAGTTACATATTTCCACTAGAGGTGTCAATGAATATTTAAAAACCGACTAAACCGACCGAACCGTACCGCAGCGAACCGAATTTTAGGTTTCTTTGGAAGAAACCGTAGGTTTTTATATAAATCTATAACCGTGCCGATAATTAGGGTAGGTTTTTTATTTTATAAAAATAAACCGAAAGAGTACCGAACCGTACCGAATAAATTTTATATGTGAAAAATATATTTATATAGTAAGTTTAAAATTAATAAAGCATTATTTTTTTCATTGGGCCTTGGAATTATAA